GGGGGGACTCTATCTGAAGAGCAACTGTCCTCATACTTCCTTGGGACTTAAAATTCTCCTCACCTGCCTGTTACCTCCGGAATTAAGTTCAAATGTGTCCATAGGAGTCAAGTTTCCTGTCCAGTCAGCCTGCCCTAAGTCCCGCCCTCTTCCCGTTTGAGGAGCCTGTTCCCTGGCCCAGGCTTCCCAGCTGAGAAGCACCTCACCCACGGGGTTGTTGGGACTGGGCAGCGGAGGGTTGTTCTTGGCACTGATTTTCAGTGGCCAGACCTTCTGTTCCAACAACTGTTCCTTTTGCGTCCCAGCTTTCCCAAGAGAAAGCCTTCTCTGCCTCCAGCCTGGCAGGAGGCGCGACTGCACCGACCAGGGAGTGGGCATGAGCGTTCCCTGCTGCTCAGTGTACAAAAGCGTCAGAGCCAGAGGGAGGGAAAGGGTCCAGGCCAAGGGCTTCTGAAAGGTGTGATGTTCTCCCTGCCTTCCCGAGTCTCTCAAGTCTGCCCTTGGGTGACACCGACCTCTGGACAGCCACGTTTTTAAGACTGAATTGTTTCGGCTATAGAAATGCTTTCTCTTTTTGGCATGTTGGCGGTATCAGAATGGCTCAGTGAACCTTTTGTACAATGTCATGAAGGATGGTCTTCACTGTACTATATGGTGTTCTGTTTACGAGGGTCCCGGGGATATCATCTCCCCAGCGTCTTTGTCACAAATAGCTCTGATACCTGCAAAGGATGATTTTGTTTTTGTTATAAGAAACTATTCAAATTTTCCTTCTACACTGGCCACTTGTGAGGTCGAGTGATATAAGGCATCATAGAACAGTTACTGTCTCTTTGTCAGCATAGGTAGCTGTTTATTAATAAAGGAGGGGAGCAAAGAAAATTAGACATTATTAAGCATAACCCACTAGGAAGTATAAGCCTGCTTGCTTCACACACTCCCCAGGGAGCCACCAGTCCGTTCCCCGCGGGTCACTGGGGGGAGGGACAGAACAACAAAGGGGGAGGTGAGCACATGCGCAGTAGGAACCAAGATGGCGACCATAGAAGTGTGTCAGTTTAGCTTAGGAAAAGGACCAGATTGGATAAGAGACACAGCCTCGGAAGACCTGGGGAATGGATTGGTTAGGGGGTAGGCCCGTCAGAAGCCCGAAAGCTTAGGAAGTTGATTGCTTATTTTGAAAAAGCGCCTGGTTCTTCCCAAGCCTGAGATAATATAATCCCAGCTAACAAAGGCCCTCTTTCTATCTCTCGCCCAGTGGCGCACCCTCACCCTGTTTGCTGGCACGTTCTCTTTCCTTAGCAGCCACCTGGGGCCCGTGGCAGGCTGCATGGCGGCGAGGGCGGGCCTGGACACAGCGCCAGCCGAAGCGCAGCCGGGACCACGGACTGAGCTCACCAGATGGGTGGGAGGCTGGCCTGGACTGGCCTTGGCCTGGCATAGACCCTCTGGACATTGGCCCTGTGGCCAGGCCTGATGAAGGCCAGACTGGACGTTTTCCATGACGGGATGGATGGAAATGAGACATTGGAAACCCAGTGGCACACCTTTGATTTTGCCTCCAGCACACAAATGAATCTTACCGTGTCCCAGGCTCCATATGTGGAACGCTTTCCTTGCGACACCACAAGGACCCCGATTCCACCGACAACATCTTAACATCATTCTGGCTTTGTCCTACTTTTCTTGTCCCCATTTTCACTTAAATTTTATCATTGCTCTCCTACTGTGTGTGCCTTTTTAGAGTGACTTCCTTCCTCTTAGGAATTAAGTGTGAATAAATAAGCCAGGCCCTGCTTGTCTTTGGTAGATGAGGCAAAGAGTGCTTAAGGGCTGGGGTACAGTGCTTGCTCCTTTGGAAACAAGACACAAGAGGAGGTAGAGGTCAGGAGGTCAGGAGAGAGCTCCCAGCCGGGGCAGTGGCAGCTGCCCCCCTCTTTTCAGCCACATCAGGAAATTGATACATTTCCTATGTGGCAAGACATCTGAGATCCGATAAGTGCATTTTCAGCTCAAACACCAAATATGCACAGCTTCAATTAGCCATTCTACTCTGTCAGGACTGAAAGACTCCAAGATTTTCTCAAAATTAATTACAAAAATATTTACTGAATGCCTTCCATGTCCCACTGACTTAGACCAGGAAAACATAGCAACCCAAAAGATGCCGTTTCAGGGAAAAAAAACAGACAGAGACAGCCAGCCAGCTTGTCCTCACTGAGCTCCAGAAGTGGTGCGAAAGGTCACAGTGTGGGGGCGACTGACCCTCAATGTTCCTGCTGGGCGGAGTGCCCTCTACGACCTGACACGGGACCTGCAACCTGCGTGTCTGCCTGAGAGGCATATGGGCCTTGATTTGCATTTGAACAGCAAAGTCAGTGCATATGCAGAAATCACTGGGTTTCATTATTTTTACACTTTTTTTACAATGTGCTTTAGGCTGTGAATCTTTCGTTCTTAAGAGAACGTATGCAGACCTACCTGAACTGGTGACTATTAAAAACCTTTGGTGACTACGATGTCCCTGTCAAGCCTAGCGGTCCTTTGTGGCCAACTGTTCCTTCCACTCTCCTTTCATCCCCACCGTCCTCACGGTGTGTGGCGTTAACTTCCTTCACCTGGATGGTGGCAACCCAGACGCTGCATCGTCTAGCGTACACGTGGATCCACACACATACACACACACGTTGTCCAGTTTGTTTGATGTAAGGAAAGAAACACAACGGTGACATTTGGCCCGACATGATCCGTGCTCCAGCTGGATGGAGATGAATGAGGGAGGGAGGGATTTGGAAAGAGGCTCAGACGCTCGAGGCATGTCATTTAACGTTGAGCCAGCTCTGCTAACTTAACTGGGCTGAAGATGCACCTTTAAGCTTCTTCCTGTGCGGTTTATTTCTGAGAACCATCTTGCTCCTTTCATTGAAAAAGAATTTCTTCCTAAATTACATTATTGACTTGCCGCAAACCGATGCTGCAGGTGCCACTTTGTAGGGGTGAGACAGCCCCGTCCCCTGGAGCCTAGTGCCTGCTCCTAGAAGGCCTGGTCCCCGTGGGCGGATCGGTGAGGACACAGCCGTCGTTGGTCCCTCTGGGTATCCCAGTGCACACAGTCAGAATGCCTTGCTGTTCTCAGTTCACCTGTGTATCTCTACTACTGTCCCAGGAGGGATAAAAATTTTTTGTCAGGGAAGAGCCGAGAGACCCTTGAAATGTTTAGAAAGAGTGCTTTCGGCTGAGACCCAAAGCCCTGAGGTCTTGGAGAAAGACAAACGGAATCATAAGGTCTGGGACCAGCCCTTCCCTGCTTCCCTGTGTTGCACGACCTGCTTGCTTTGCCCTCCCTGACTTGGACTCTTATTTTGCAGACTGTTATCCTAGGGTTCTGTGTGTACATTATTATTTGAAGGTGGTAGATGTCCACGCTTGATCAGATAAGAACATCCCACCCATGGGTTCTATAGGGACTTAGTTCAAACATTGCCTTTCTTCACCTGCCTCCGCAGGTAATGTGATTCCATAAGTTGCCTCTGCTATGCACGTTCTCAATAGGGAGCCTGTTGCCTTGCGTACGGTGATGCATAAGAACTCTTTCTTTTGATCATTCAGTCATTCCACCAGCCACTTTGTTAGCATCTGCTGAGTACCGGACACTGTGAAGAATAATGGGGATCCCAGGAAAAGGGGATCCTGTGGAAATGGGCATAGAGACAGGTTTCATGTTTGCATTGTCTCCAAAGACACGTGGAAGGACTCAGAGACTTGCTCTGCTGGCCGCGACCGCATGCCCAGTAATCCTTCCTGCCGCAAAACAAGTCCCAAACTGGGAAAAGAGAGTAATCAGCTGTTTTCGATATTGGACAACAGAGAGTGCAAGGCCCTGTTCAATGAGCAAAAGAAAGCACGGACAGCAAGCTGCGCCATTGCCCCTTTCCTCGCGGGAGGCGCTTCTCATCTGCAGTGCAAGGGGCGGAGCCCAAACAGAGCACCTGGCCTGGCTGCCCTGGGGCCGAAGAGAGTGTCCTTGCTCGGGTGGCTGGCCTTGCTGGGTCAGAGCGCCTACCGGGCAGGCGTGAGTTTCTCAGAGCAGAGGCTGCAGAAATCAGGACAGGGAGCCCCCGTCCAGCCTGGAGGGATATTAGCCTGCTCTCGCGTAGCCAAGGCCTGGGGAGCGGGGGGCCAGGTAGAGAGACAGAAGCCAGCCGGTGCTGGGCGGCAGAGACACCTTGTTGACCAGCCCAGGAATTCAACTGGGACCCCAGAAAGACCCTGCTCTGGCAGGAGGGGTGTCATCGCCCTAGAATAAGGGCTGCTCCAGACACTCCCAACCAGGGATTTAAATACAAGTTGCAAGATGGGAGGGGGGTTGGGATGTTGGGCAAAAACAGTGAAAGGGATTAAGAAGTATGGATTGCCAGTTATAAAAGTAGCTACGGGATGTAAAGCGCAGCAAAGGGCTCATAGTCGATAGCATTGTAATAACTACGCGCGGTGTCGGGCGGGCACTAGCCTCATCGGGGGGAGCACTTTGTTCGTTGTATCCATGTCTCATCACCACGTTGTACATTTGCCGTGAAGCGAACACAATACTGTATGTCAACTATAAGAGAAAAATGAAAAAGTCAAGTTCTGAAAGGATCGAGCTTGACAGCCTGACGGGGAAAGAAATTAACTGCTTAATAGAACATAACTCTTTCTCAAGGAAGACAGAAAAGCCCGGACTTGTCAACTCTGTAACAACAACACTATCCGGCATGTCATAGAAGTTTGTAGGTACGAAAAGAAAAAGCAGAACATGGGGAGGAGACGAGACTCCAAACGATATGAATGAATAAGGGGGTTCGGGATAGCAGGACCGTTGCTTCCTCGGGGGTTCTGTCCGCACCGAGGACCGAACAAACCCGCTGCCCCTAGACTCCACCGCGTCTTCCCCGCAGTGAGGCTGTCCCTTCGCCCTCTGGCCTCTCGTTGTAACTCTCACTGCGTTTCTGCTCTGCCAGGCACCTACTGCCAGCAGCGAGAGGTGGAAGCCATCACGGAGGGCGACGAGGACGACCGAGGCTGCTGCTGCTGCAAACCGGGCCACCTGCCCCACCTGCTGTCCTGCAACGCGGCCTTTAACCTTCGTTGGCTCACCTGGGAGATCACGCGGACGCAGTACATCCTGGAGGGCTACAGCATCATAGACAACAACGCGGCCACCATGCTGCAGGTGTACGACCTCCGACGGCTCCTCATCCGATACTATATCAAGGTACCGCTCGGGGCCCACGCGCCGGTCTCGGTCATCATGTTGGGCTGGCTCAAGAGGTTCCCGGAAAGCTTGGCAAAGCGCTCCATTGTTTTTAGATTCTGCAGCCGCGGCCCAGCTAGGGCCGGGCACCACTGGTTTGGGGAACTGCCCGAGGGCGGAGGTTCAGCCTGAGGTCCGCCCCAGAGGCGCGTTCTGACGGGCGGTCTGTCTTCTCGCCGAGGTCTGCGTCCTCGCTTCCAGCTCAGCACGGGTTAGGCTGGTCATGATCAGTAGCAACATCCTGAAAATATTACCAAGCCATGTTTGCATGTTATAAGTGACGATTTAGATGCTTGGCGAACTTCCACTTTAGAACGACCAGAATTACGTTTTAAGCTGAACGAAACTCAAAAACAGCTCCGACAGCCTTTTCTCTGCACTCATGTAAAGACTGATCATGTATTTTTTCACTTGTTCAGTGCCCATATTTGCCCAATGTGTATTCAACTCAGAAAACATGCCTGTTTGGACTAAGTCCCCTGGAGAACATGGGACACTTGATCAAGGACACAGAGTGACAGCCGGGAGAAGGTGTTTGCTGAGGGGAAGGGCCCGGCGAGGTCAGCCATGGCTCAGGACATCCTTGGGGTGGCTCTTATTCTCCAGGAGCACTTTGCATGGTGGCAGTTCTGGATGGTCCTCAGAGGCTCTACACTTTAATGCCACCCAAAACGAGGACACTCATTCGTCTGAGACCCCAAACTCCCTTTGAGCTGAGGCTGAGGCAGGTGGTCCCCCTACAATGAGAAAATAGAAAATAGAACCTAACACGGGTGCCTGAAGGTCCAGGAGTTTGCCAGTGAAAAGGCGGACACGTTGACATTTGGGGGAGGTACCGCGGGGGGGCCCCGGCGTGTGCTCCAGTCGCTGCTGCTGTTGACAGGAAATAGAAGGCAGGCTGCGGAGGTCAGGAGGTTACATAGCTCTTACCGCACTGGGACGCGAGGGCAGCAAGGAGTATGTGTGGGACCCTTTCCTGTGGCAGAATATTGAAAACAGATTTAGTGGTTCGTTCTCACCGGCTGCATGCGTGTTAGAGGGGTGCAAACTTTGTATCCAAATCTCACAGAAAAGAATAGCTATTGGCGCAACCTTGCAGAAACTGAGGGAGATGTTCAGAAAGCAAATCAGGGGCCTGCGACCGCATGCCTCCCAGCTCCACGGTTTGTCCCCTCGGACGTTACAGTAAGAGCAGCTGCAGGAAGCTTCACATTCACAGTCAAGCCTGGGCCACCTCAGTGCGCCCCCTGGCGCTAGGCTCGGCAGGGGGCCCTGGAGACCTGTGGCACATACCAGGGACGCGCGTCTTCAGTCACACGTAAGCTAAGGCTGGGGTGGCAGCTCTGCTCCTCCACGTTTAGCGAGCCCTCGTCTTCAATGGACGGAGGAAAGGACACAGAGATGCAGACCAGGAACCCGCACCAGCTGTTCCTGAGGAACTCCCTGGAAGTGGCCGCAGTAAGGCCCGCTGTCTCCTGTTGGCCGGAAGGTTGTCACGTGCCAGTTGTGAGGGCGTCTGGGACGTGTATTCTGGGCAGCCATGAACCCAGGTACAAACTGTATGTTCGGGGAAGAAGAAGTAAACAGATGTTAAATGGCAACCAGCTATCTCTGGCACCGCCCTCAAAAGGAAGAGGAAGTGTCCCTCGAGGATCCCCTTTAGTTCATAAGTAGCCACAGGCTGGGGCCATTGCAGGAGGGCTGGATCTAGGGCTGACAGGCCAAGGGGACTGGCCGTCCCACGAAGCAAGCGGTGGAGAGTTCACTCCGAGTGGGCAGCCGGGGCCCGCAGATCGGGTCCAGACGGGCCAGAGGGATGAGCCCTGGCGCCAGCCATCTCCTTGCAGCCTCAAAAACAGGGCGGGCCCTGCTGCCTGCCCTCCGGAGCCCTGCGCTGGCTCCCCTCGGTGGCCACCCCTGCCGCTCCTGAACCACGTGCCCGTGGCTGCCCCCCCTCCCGCCCGCCCCTTGCTCGCGCGGGCCCCTCCGCTCCTCTCTCCTCGCACGGTGGCCACACCCACAGCCTGAGCCCTCCCCACCTGAGCCCACCGTCTGCCCCGGCGGGGCCGAGGCTGGCCCTCACCCCCTGCCTCTGAAACCGTGTCTACTTCGCCTTCTGTCAACTTTCTGAGCACAGACACATCATTCCTCTCCGGATCCCCGGAGCCCCAAGTGGCGATGTGCTTGTGGAGGTTCTAGCGCAGCTTTTGGAATCTGGCGTCTGGGCCACACAGTCGGGGTAGACAAGATCCGGGTGCAGGCAAGGGTCTGGGCGACCTGCTCCAGGCAGCACGGCAGGACTGAGGTTCAGTCCGGAACCACCTCTCTATGAATCTGGAGCTCCCCCTAAATATCCTTTCCATGGGACACGTGATGGTCAGCGGGCCACCGTGAGTGGGAGAAAAGGATGAGCTGCCTTCTCTGGGTCCAGCCACTCGGCTTGTTCCCACTGGTCTCTGACATGCACGTTCCTCCTCCCCGAATGCCTGGAGCCGTGTCTCCCGGACCCCTGTGCATTCCCTAAAATGACAATGTAAAACAAAGTCCAGGGTAATGTGCAGGTGGCAGAGGGCTGAAGGAGGCCCCCAGAACCTGCCAGGTGGTAGCTTGTGGGAAACAGTGGCCTGCACTTCCTAAGAAAGGGCAGTGACGCTAGCGAGCGAGCTTCAGGGGGGCAGGAGAGGGCACAGGGTGCTGGCTTGTTACCTAGGAGGCCGCTGCTCAGGAGCAGGGGCAGGCCGGCGGCATCAGGCTCTGCCAGTAAGCCGGGTCATTGCAGATTTCCCCGTCCCACCCGGAAACTCGGACTCTGTGGGCCCGGGGCCCCGCCCACACACCTGCAGTTTTAAATGTTTCCTAAGTGATTCGATGCATAGCTAGGCTTGGGAACCACTCACTGCAGGCAGATCTGAACTCCAGATCAGCACTCAGGAGGGGCGGAGCCTCGGGGACAGACTGGGTCGCAGGTGCAGCTCCTGACACCTGCGCACCAACAGGCCTGTTCGTTGGCGCTTGCTCTCCTCCCCTCCGGCGAGGGCTGCTCAGAACCTGCACTCACAGGCCGGGGCAGTTCGCGGAAGACGACCTCAGGAGTGCCCAGTGGCTGTTAGAAGAGAAGAAACCGCATTTTAGGGCAAAAAGTAATGACTGCTTTTTTCTTTGGTCTTCATTCCTGGGTGAATAAAATTGCCTTCGTAGCTCTAAGTTTCACGAGGTCAGTTTTATTCTTTTTATTATTTTTGATTGAACAGGCAAATCAAAAAAGAAAAAGAAAAAGAGAAAGAGAAGCTCAGAATAATTCCTTTACACAAAAGGATTTTTTTAATCTCCTAATAAACTGAGTCAGTTCCCCGACCTTTCATGAGTACATTTGAAATCGTTTCCTTCCCGGACTTGAAGTTCCCAGGGCTCCCCACCATCTGTCCCCCATTCATTCGTGTTTAAAGCCCCTTCTCAGCCCAGACCCCCGCTGTCTGCAAGGGAGTTCCTGCCGCCATTGTTTCTGCCGACTCTTGTAGAAAGGAGATGGGCTTATCGCTTGCCTTGCAGACGAGCCGGACACGTCGGTCTGCCCGGCAGGCCCCCTTCCTTGACTGAGCTGCCTGATAGAAAACGCTGATCTACAATTAAAATGAGAAACCGGGAGACTCCTGCTGGAGGAGACAGATAGGCGGGATTAATTCAGGAGGGGCTGCCTCCCACACGGATCAGGGCCTACGCCATCGATTCCCACTGTCCTGACTTACCAGCTCTACTTAGTATCGTATCCATCTCATTCTGACAGATTCGGGAGGACTTCACACTGTTCATTCGTTGGCATATCCCTGACAGGATTTCTGCCTAAATGCGGTGGAAACGGGGTACGGTTTGCAAGTAGCTGCAGCGGTTCTGTTTCCTCCGGGTGAGGGGGATGGGTGCCTCGTCCCCTCGTCCCCTCGCACCGAGAGCTGAGCACAGAGCTGGGGCTCTGCTCCAAAGGCAACGCGGCAGGATTTTGTCCAAATTAGAGGAAGGAGTTTTAACCTCTGGCATTCAAAGCCCTTGTTAAGTATTCTAACTTCATGGGTTGAGAGGTTATTTGCATCCTTCCTCAGAAATGAATGGAAAGGTAAACGTTCCCCTTTGATTTGTTTGTTATTCCTCTCTGGGACTCCTGAGTGGGACCTACTGGGGAAAAGGAGCCCAGATGTGGGCCAGAGCCAGATGTTTGGACAGACCGCAGCTCTCTTTCCCCTTTGAAACTGTCAGCGGAGAAGCGGCACTTGGGCCAGGGTCACAGATCCTCATTTGCGTGTAACTTTGGGCCGGTTACTTACACCGTCCCCCTCCCCGAAGCTGTAAGTTACCAAAGGTGAGAAGGCAACAGAGAGCCCTCCAGATCGAGAATCTACGTTTTTTGAATATTAGACGTGCGCTCTGGCGACCGCCGCAGACTAAGCTGTCCCCTGTCCCCTGTCCCCGAGCCCTGCTTCAGACCTCAGTGTGGCGGCTGCGACGGCCACCTCAGGCTTATTGGGCAGCAAGTCACAGATGCCAGAGATGCAGGGTTATTATTATTTCTTGCATGTGTACCCGTGCTAGACTGGGCTCTTCGCACACATTGTCTCATTTTACACCTCAAAACAACTATGAAAAGCGGCAACATGAGTGCTTCTGCCCTCCACCCTCTGCTTTCAGCTTCCTTTGGCCCCTTCTTCCCTAGTTCCCTCCTTCCCTCATTCCCTCCCTCCCTCCCTCCTTCCTGACACTGATGGGGTTTCTTTTTTTTTTTAAAGGTTTTTTTCAAAGACTTTATTTATTTTCAGAGAGGGGGAAGGATGGAGAAGAGAGGGAAAGAAACATCAATGTGTGGTTCCCTCTCAAGCGCCCCCCAAAGGGGACCTGGCCCGCAACCCAGGCATGTGCCTTGACTGGGAATCGAACCAGCAACCCTTTGGTTTGCAAGCTGGCGCTCCGTCCACTGAGCCATACCAGCCAGGGCTGAAGGGCTTTCTCAAGGCCAGCACTGTTGTCCTGCGTGCTGTGCTTGCTGGAGAACCTATGACCTGCCTAATTCTACTGACTGTCTGTGGACTTCATCCCCCCGTCCCCTGTTTTGGGGTCAGCAGGACTGTGGAGCCCCGAGTGACTAAGGGCTGCCCTGGGTCCTAACCATGGGGGCTGACTCCGTGGTTTGCCTGTTGTTCAGCCAAAGCCGGAGACGACCTGTCTGTCTGCTCCCCTGCTCACCTGCTCACTCTCCCGGAATAACTGGAAACCAGACACCTCAGCCACCCCGACCAGATTCCACGGCCCAGGCAGTGAGGGGGGGGCCAAGAACACAGCACGGGTGCCTCTGCCCACTCGCTCCCCTGGCTTGTCACCTCGGCCTGTCCACGTCCGTGCCGTATGCCTGACTTCCCCAGAGAAGCCCGCCCGCTAAGGGTTTGATTCCACAGGAACACGCCTCGCTGCCTCTTTGCATCGAACGCCACTCCCCCCTCCCCGCCCCCCCACCCCGTGGCCCCTGATTTCCAGATCAGACCAGCAAGGTCCCCGGTCAGCCCGGCTCCTGTCGCCCTGAGAAATGAAAACGCAGGGAGCGTTGGGCTGGGGGGACGCCTCTGCACCGGAGTCCCATCTGCTGCTGATGTGCCCGCCTTGGACTCGGATGGTCAGTTTCTGGGTCATATTTTTACTCCTCCAGTCCATGTGCTAGCCTTTTGGAAAGAGGAATTCATTCAAAAACGACCATGCGGCCTGCAATAAAGTTGTGGCCCAGAATAACAAAGCCGGGGGCGGCCTCCTCTCCCGCTGGGCCTCCCAGGGGCGTGCCCGGCAGAGAGGACCGTGAGCTACCTTCGGATGCGCCCCAGATGCCCGCCGCCGGGGCGCCCAGCATTGCGCATGCACGGGGGTTACAGCAACGGTGTCACAAGAACTTCCCGTCAGAACCCTGGGGCTTTAGTTCATTGACCACTGCGGCCGGGGGCCCTGGGCGAGGGTCGGCCCGGCCTCTCAGCTGCATCAGCCCAGCCCAGCACCCGCAGACGCCTGCAGTGATGGAGGGTCCTTCGTGTGCGTCTTTCAGCCAGGAGAGGGCTGTCGGTTGTCCCTTCCCCCCACGGAAAGTCTGCTCTGGGACGTTCTGTTAGCGGCCTGTTCGTCACGCTTCCCTCCTCCCTACAGTGACCCAAGTGGACTCTATCCTCTGACTCCAGTAGGAAATATACATGACACCATATGTGTGGGTTCATGGTTCCTACTTCTCTGATAGCAATTGACTTTATGAGATACAATAAATAACAAGCCTTTCTGGCTTTGGAGCAGCTGAAGGGACTCAAAATCTTACTTTCTCTCCACAGAGTATAATATACTACATGGTAACGTCCCCCAAACTCCTCTCCTGGATCAAAAATGAGTCCCTCCTGAAGTCCCTGCAGCCTTTTGCCAAGTGGCATTATATCGAGCGTGACCTTGCGATGTTCAGCATTAACATTGACGATGACTACGTCCCGTGTCTCCAGGGGATCACGCGTGCCAGCTACTGCAACGTCTACCTTGAGTGGATCCAGTACTGCGCACAGAAAAGGCAGGAGGTAGGCGCGGCGCGGGGGCTGGGGCTGGGGGCCGTCCGCAGACTGTACGTTTGAAAAACAAGATAAACTGTACAGTCGATCTCTTTCCTATCCTCTCTGCTAGACAAATACAATAAAAGGAAGAGAAAACATTGGTATTTGGGTAACCGTTTATTTAACAATTGAAAGAATTCATGGAGGAGCCTTGAAGTTTTATTTCCCTGTATTCTGCACTTAGGGTCAGAGCAGGTTTAAGCGCCTCCCTCAGCTTTGAAGCTCTGAAAACTTCTTTGTTTAAAGTCACTTTTTCAGATCCAGGACATCTGTGTGCGGTCCAGGGGGTTACTGCACATCCCGCACTGCGAACACAAAATTCTATTAATCTGGTGGCCCCGGGACTCCCGATTGCTTGTGGTGCATCCTGGCTCCCTTGTGGAGGCCCCCTTTAGAGACGAGGGCAGCCTCCTGGGCAGGAAACCAGGGACAGGGACAGCTCATACACAGAGACGTGTGGGAGGGCGGGCGAGGAGGAGCAGAGGGGAGAGAAGCCAGTGGAGGCAGGGGGCTGGCTTTCCTTCTTGGGACACAAAGCTGCATCCGCCTGTGGACACGTGGATAGAGGCAGTAGGTCCAGGTTGAAAGCGACCTCGTCAGTCACCGTGAAGTCTGTCGTGTGACTGTAGAGGGTAAATCAGTGGCATGACCGCACACGGGCGGTGGGGAGGCAGGAAGGCCCCTGCCTCCTCCAGACGCGCAAGGAGGACGTGGCGGCGATATGCACAGGATCCGTTACGCCTGACGGTCCTGTGGCGGCTTTCCTCCGTCCTCAGTTGGTTCATGGAATCATATATTTCTTGCTAAAGACAGTTTGACTTTAAATTTCCCCTGCCCTTCCCCGGCCGCCTTTTAAAGCTGACTCTGGGCGGCCGCCTTGGTTTGGGTGTTGACGGTGGGCTTGCGGTCAACTCGCTGGGCTCTCATCAGAGGGCGAGCAGACGTCCCTCATTGGCACTTGACTCCTGTACTTCTCTTCACGCCGGACGTGCCTCTGCACTGCTTTGCACGGTGGGACGGGTGGGCACTGGGCCGCGTGAAGGTGGACGTTTGGTTGGCTATAACTTCTGACCATCATCACGACCTTTAGGGCCGTACACAGAATCCAGGCGATCAGGCAGGTAGGCTCCACGGGGCCCTTTTCTCGCCTGCGGTAGCGTCCTCACTTATATTTCTTTGGCATGTCCAGCCACAAGAGGAACCACTTCAGGAAGCAGAGAGTTCCAGACCCCCGGTCACTCCAGCGGGGACCGGACATGCTGACCGGATCTGCCTCCTGGAACCCTGCATCCGTGAGCCTGTGCGGCGCATTGTGGGCGCCTGTGTGACGGCTGAATTAACTAACATCTCTGCTCTTTCAGTCTTCAAAGGCCCTGGACAGTGACGAGGACTCGCCCCTAGTGACCCTGTCCTTCGCCCTGTGCATCCTCGGGAGGAGAGCGCTGGGGACTGCCGCACACAACACGGCTCTCAGGTACGGCGCAGACGGCTGGAACAGGCGTCGGTAGTTTGTATTTTTGACAGATTTTTTCCCAGCCACTTTATTTCACCCATGGTGCTGCTTATACTTCTTCCAGATAGTCCTTCCCATAATCAATCACGCGGGGCCTGCGACAGGCCTTTTCTGGTCGCTGTGATTCCTGCGCGTGTCAGCGTTGGAAATGACAGTACTGTGGAACGGCCAAAATCCCGGAAATCCGGGGTGTTGGGTGTTACAGGGGCGCTTGCAGATTTGCTGGGAAGATTAAATGAAATCATGCATATGAATGCCTGGCAAAATTCTTGCTCCTTCAACGTGACTTGTTCCCCGTTTTTTCACATCGGCACGCTAGTCTAGACCCCGCTCCGTGTGTCCCTGGGGGGCTGTGACTCACAGGCCGTCCCCGCTGCGGTTCAGACCCTCCTGCCGGTTCAGACCCTCTTTTGCCTGGATCTTCTCCCTCTGCATGTAAACAGCCAGCTTCTCTTTTTAAAGAACAAAACCAAAGCGAAGCTCCCGACCCTTCCACCCTCCCTCTCCCGCTGTCATTCGGTCTTATCTCTGATTCACGAAGGAGCTCCTGACCTTTCACTCACAAAGGACAGGGGCTGAGCCTGGCACCCCCGCGGTGCCTCCGTCCTGCCCCCCAGCCAAGCTGCTCTTGTGAATTTCATCAGTCACCTCACCCCCCAATCGGAGGCTGTTTCACAGGCGTCTCCTTTGATACCTGCCTCTGGGGACCAGATGTTCTGAACTCTGCTGTCCGTTAGAAGCTCCTTGAGCCCTGCCTGGGTGGCTCGGTTGGTTGGAGCAGCGTCCGGTACACCAGAAGGTTGTGGGTTTGATTCTGGGTCAGGGCGTGTCTGGAAAGCAACCAATCGATGTTTCTCTCTCTCTCTCCCCACCCCCCACCATCCCTTTCTCTCTAAAATCAATAAAAACATATCCTTGAGGATTAAAAAAAAGAAAAGGAAACCTGTGGCCGATGTGGCTCAATTGATTGGATGTCATACTGCAAAATGAAAGATCACTGGTTCAATTCCCAGTCAGGACACATGCCTGGGTTGTGGGTGCTGTCCCCGGTTGGGGCGCATATGAGAAGCAACTGATCGATGTTCCTCTCTCACATCAATGTTTCCCTCCTTCTCTTTTCTTCCTTCTTCTCCTCTCTCTAAAAATAAATAACTTTTTTTAAAAAAGAAGAAGCAGCAGCTCCTCGATTACTTTCGTTAAAATCTCCTGAAGGGCTTCTAAGTCTCCTGAGGCCCAGCCCCAGCCCAGTCCGTACCAATTCCAGCAGAACGTCTGTGGGGGACCACGCACCAGGATCTGTGTAGCTCCCCAGGCAATTCAGTGCGTGTCCAGGGTCGAGAATCATGGAGAACCAGGGGGCCGAACACAAAGGGTTCTCTTTAGCCTCCCTCCGTGGTTTCTCCTCTCCTTGGACTTTCTTCAGTGCTTCTGTGTCGTATTATTGCATGCTTTTCATATTTGACGTGAGTGTGTTTTGTTATTGGGTTGGATTTGAAGCTTCTTAAGGGCAAACCCACTTGTTATTCATCTAACAATCCTCACAACCCCCGGCCGTGGGGTGGACGAGTCCAGGGAGGTTGTCGACCGTGTTTCTGAATGCCCGTCCTGCAGGGGGCGACTGTGAGCCATTGCTGGCAGCAGCTGCGGGAAGGCTTCATCCGCTGTGGGCTGGGGACGGGTAAGGGTGAAGCCGCGGGGCGGACACTTCTCATCGTTTCTGGAGGCAGGAGCCCCGAGTCACTGAGAGGGAAAGGACGGACCAAATTTGTGACGGTAGCTGCTCTTTCCACTCCCACATCCCAAAATTGCATGGTTTTCTGCAAAGGCGAGAAGGGCTAATCCTGACGTAGTGAGTGAATACCTGTTGTAGGAGCCATTCTGGGAGGAGCTGCCTGGCTCCTGGCCCCGCTCTGTCCCCCTACCTGGCTCAGCCCTGGGCTAGACCCGGGGAAGCACCAGTGGGGTCACCTGGGACTAAATTTGACAATTGTCTGCAAGCCTAACACTGGTGGGCGGCGTACACCGGGACAGCAGGCTCCTCAGTAAGCGGCAGATAGACAAACAACACTGTTGGAGAAGGGCTTCGGGGTGGGGTGGTTTGGACTCAAAAATCACAAACTGAGTCCTCAGATATTCATAGCGCCCGGGCAGGTGAGCTGCGTTTTGATCTCTTTGAGGTTTTTATAAATTTCAAATTTTCTGTACAAATTGCAAACAAAACGCTTCAAAGATTTCCCCCTTTCCGTTCCTATCTAAGATATTTTCAGAGACGCTTCCGTCTTGATCCAGGGGTTTCTTGCTTGGCCGGCTTTATTTATTTTTCCCTGATTAAGCACCACGCTCACCAGCTGTTTTTTTAAACCTTGTTTTGATGGGATTTCCTTTGTTTCAAACACTCCGAGACAGCTCTGCTCCTTCCCAACGGAGCGATGAGATCAGTCTGGGAGTAATACTCTTGCTGTCCTCGGGGGGCTTTGATTATCTGGGCCCGGGTCGCTTTCCCGAGAGGCCCTGCGTCACCGTACATCCTGCAGCGTGTTTTCATTTCAGCCATTGACTTGCAAGAGGGAACCGATTTTACACGCCGCCCCAGGCTGTGCTTCACAGAAGTCCGTGAAGTTCCGACTTTCTTGGATTCGTCGTGGGGGGTGGGGGGCGGGGGGGAAGAGGGACACAGTGTGAGGGGGAGGCGGGAGCCTGCGGGGGGTGGGGGGGCGACCCCCGCCCCCCGCTTCAACCCAACAGCTGCGCTCAGCATTTCGTGTGCTAGGGTTCAGTAAATGGGTTTGCTTGGAAAAAAATCGTTCCAGAGTCAAAAAAATTTTTAACATAATTTTAATAGATACAGTTAAAGTGCTCTCCAAAATAACTGTCTCAGTTTGAAGTCTCTCCAACTGTGTTCTGCCATACCCTTGCTAATGCTGGATATTCCGTCTTTTTAATTTTTCTAGTCTCATGGGTAAAAACTTAAATTTCCATCTTATTTGAATTTGTATTTCCATCATTACTAGTGAGGATAAGAATCTTTTTACATGTTTATTGGTCACTTTTTTTTTTCTGTGAATTGCTGGCCCACTTATATGCTTAACCCATTATTGTTAGGGACTCACTGATTTTTAGGAGCTATTCTCATATTAAGATATTACTAGGCATTAAAATACTTTCTATTAAGGTAGGTACACCTGTCTCTTGTATTTACTTATGACATCTGTTTAAAGTTTTTACTTTACTGTTTCTTGATTTTGTGTCTTTCTTAAAACTGTTTTTGTAGCTCTAGGGTATAAAAATACTAGCTTCTCTTTTTCTCTGGCACTTCCATCGCTTTATTTCCTCCATCTCGGGGCTGGATTTTACTCCAGTCCTTTGCTAATTGGCTTCCTTGTTGCTGTCAGGGACTCTGGCCGAGGACGTGAGACGCCTGCATCAGAGACAAAGGACAGGATTGCTTACGGCACAGCAACAGTCTACTTATGTGGGTCTCCTCAGCCCCCAAGCCTGGCAGGGTCGGCGGGGGGCAGGGGTAACACAGAGCACAGAACACTCATTTTCAGTAAATGAGCTTTATGGCCCAGAATGACGTCACTTCATGCCCCGAGGATGCTCTCAGGAACGGCCTGGGCGCTGCATTCTTAGCGAGCCCAGGAGGACATGCTGGAGGCGGGACCCTGGCTCCCAACACATGCACATAGAATACATTTTCATGCACCGGGGGAGCTAGGGACTCCAAGTTTCCCCAAAGGGCAACTGATCGTCCAGCATCATTTGCTAAATAGCTCATTGTTAGTTAGCTACTTAGTTACTTAAAATCACCACCAGCTTGAAGTACTGCTTTGGCCCCGTATGATGTCCCCGTAGGTGATGGTATGCTTCTGGATGTGCACTTCTGTTGAAGTGATCAGTTTCTCTGTTCTTCACACAAAACCATACTGTTTGGTTTACTAGAGTCACACTTTCTTTTGATATCTTTTAGGACAGTCAGTTCATCTTTACTTTTTTCTTACCTTTTATAGTTCTGTGGTGGGGCGCTATTCTTGCTTATTTCCTCCTCAGGTAAAGTTTAGAGTCACATTCTATAAAAACTTCTGTTGGAATTTTGGTTGAGATTGTATTGAACTTATAGATTAATTTGAGAGAATAATGAACATGATTTAATAATACGGGGTATCTTTGTAATCATTCAGTTTTTTTCAATGTCTTTGGTGATTATGAGTAGATCTTTCTTCCTGTTACCTTCTCTATATTTCTATTGATTTCCTTCTGGGCACCTCTCGTGATCTCGATCATAAACACATAACTATTTCAATTAATTCTCTTTCATTTTTCTGGTGGCAAGGCCTCTTTGCAGACAATGACAATTTTGGCTTTTTCTCTCCTGCGGTTGTAACGCGGTTCCCTTTCCCGTTACTTTGGCCGTGGCCTGCGGGGCGTGTTGCAGGCGGCACTTGCTTTGGGCTGCTGCGGTGGCAGCAAATTACTGCAAACGTGGTGGCTCAGGGCAACCTACACGTATTACCTTACAGTTCTGGAGGCCACGGGCCCCGAATGGGCTGCGCTCGTTTAAAATCAAGGGTCTTCCGCGCTGCATTCCTGCCGGAGCTCGCACGGGAGTCCCCGCCCCGCTCGGAGGCCGCCTGTGTCCCGCGCTGCCCTGTGTCTCCCCGGCCCGCAGCGCCTTCAGACGGCTCTGGGACTCAGCCCCTCCCGCTCCTGCTTCCCTCCTCGGAAGGATCCTTGCGCAGACGTTGGACCCCCCCCCCCAGATAATTGAGGGTAGCCTTCCCTCCCAGGATGCGCAGCTTGATCACATCTGCGAAGCTCCTGCGGCCGTGCAGGTGACATCATCACGGGTCCCAGGGATCGGGGCGCGGACACCCCTGGAGGGGCCATTGTTCCACCTATCACAGCATCCGAGTCTTATTCAGACATTAATGGGAACTGTAGTATTTTAGAATTAAAAATAA